GCTGGGTTGAATAAAAAGCGTCTTCGATGACAACTGTTTCCGCGAATCTATCCCGTCCCATCTATTCAAATAAATTGCATATGTCCGTATGGGCGTTCTTTGTGAAGCCCTAAATCCCATTCATGGTTTTTCGAAGAAACTGAAACGCATAATATGGAAAGGAATATAGGGTAGTCACTTTTTCCGGCAGACAGGGTTATCCCCAACCGGTTCCATCTCCAAAAGACCAAAATTCATCTGGGTTTACCACAATGCAAGAAAAAAAATGTGGAAAAGTTGGAGTTGACGTCATATAAAGCCTAAAAAACACAGAGGAATTCCTGATTTGAAGAAAATCCTTAAAAGATCGAGTCAGAAAGCAAATTTGCCGCCCTAGGCTCAACTCTTCATTCGACAGATGCATTTGAGGGTTCGCATGCCAGAAAGCAGAATGGGAACCCAGATAAGGGGGTTTGGAGACAATTATCTGTGTTCGTCTAAGAGTTTTTCTCTTGAATGTCATACGGAATGATCTGGAATCCAGCGAAATGATCTCCAAGTGACAGCTGGAACAGATTTATCTATGTGACATACCACAGGTTTTTGCTTTAAGGGTTTTAAACCCCACCCTTTCAATGAATTCAACTGCTCCAGCTGTTCTAGAAAGAGTTCTCGCTCAGGATTTCGATTGTCTGGAGAGAGTTCTCCATGGCCTCGTCGAGGCATCTTCAACCTCAGAATGGTACTAGTATGGGCATGACTCTACTAACACTACTGCCTAAGAAGAATTGTGGTTTTAAAACTCTCGGAATGACTAGGAGGACGTAATGCGATCTTTCGAGAATATCAATTACAACATTATTCATTTCTTCACATTCGACGTTTTCCATGAACGACGGCATAACGTCACTGTGATGAATCCTCATTTAACGTCCCCCTTAAGCATGCATGAAAATATTTTTAGTTAATTCTAAACTGCGAAAACCCAATCAATTGAATGCAAAGGGGCTCTGGCTGCTTGGTACTGATATGTTCAGCTACGGTGTCCTTCATCGACTTAAATTTTTAATAATCAGGAAGTAGAGGAGAGGTATCAATGGCTTCGAAGGGGTGTTCCAGAAAAATATCAAAAAAACTCCTTCATGGAATTCTTTGCCAGTGTAAAAATCATTTCATAGAATCACATTTCAGCACACGAGAATAAAGACCTCTCTAATGATCCTTAAAACAGCTATCCTCCTCCCTCTCATTCTTTTTTTTTCTCTCTCTCATTCATCCTAAAAAAATACACCGCGAAATAAAGGCTGACAGCAATTTTCTTAAATAAAAAATCCGTAGACTCACAGCTGTACTGGAAAATTGAATTCACAGAATCCATAAAAAAGATGATTTACTTATGGATTAATCGATTTTCATCTGGTCCAAAGGTGATTTGAGATATATTGACCGGTTCCTAATGGGGGGCGATGACAGTATAGTGCAGTTTGGTAGTGAGTAAAACTTCCCAATGGAGGCGTTCGTGCTTGTTTCCCGACTTATTTGGGTTGAGTCGAGGCGAGATTGCCAAAAAAAGGCAAAATGGGAAGCCGCGACGGAACTTTCGTCCACCACGGAAGCGTCGTGCTCACGTCTTTGCATTTGTTGCCTTACAAAAACCAACTGGGCGCTCAGTGCTTTCAGTGATTCATTCAGCTAGCAGAGGAAGAACGGTGATTAAGAATGTTACCAGTTATCGACTTGATTCTCTTCAGCGCGTCAATCTATGCTGATTACGGTATGAAAGCGGTGGAATCATCAAATCTGTGCCTAATAAACAGCTTGGAAGAAGGTCATAATAAAAGCTTTGATTGTCAAAAATTCAAGTTTTCAAGATTTTACCCTCTTCCCCTCCCTCTTCCCACTTTATTTCAGATATTTGTTTCTCTATCATAAACATTTACCTGAAACTTTATATAATCGCCATTGGAGTGAGCTTTGGTTGGCCGAATTCTTCACATGTGGTAGCTGAGCATGCTAACTTCAAAATCAACCGTAAACAAATGAATCTCAACACCTCCAATCGGCTCCAATGAGATGAAAACATTTAAATAGCGTTGAGGTTTACTTTGACATTTCAAAAAACAATTTAATATCGAAGATGCCACTAAGCCTTGGCTCTTGTCAAAGAGTAGATTCAGATATGTCCAAAATGATTGGTAGCATCAATTACAAATGGTTAGAAAGTGGATTTTCCAAGTTTTTTTTTTCGTGTAAGCTGAGGTAGCTGCTCATAAATTATTTGTAAAAATAGTTCTTTCATAAATGTTTTTCTCAATGTTAATTTTTATTACAGCCACTCTGTACCATCTTATGCAATGGTAAAATCTCCACGTGAATACCAACAGCATTATTTCTCAAAAACAAATTTGCCGCGAATTTTAGAGAAAATTGAAAATTTTAAGGGACCAAATTCATTGGTTCGGGCTCTTGAAGTGGGTAGAGGTAATAGAGAAGGCGAAAAGGAAAAAGAAACATCAACAAGTATTTGGTTAGACTCTCCTGTAGTTGTACACCTGTCCTCGATTCCCTCTATTGGCGCACTCAGTTGAGTGTATAAATAAAATAAAAAATAATAAATTATAAGAAAATATAAAAAAGTACTTTTTTTCGCCAAAACATGATCGGGGTTTTGAATACTTGTCGAATATGGTCTACTCCCGGTCTACCTCTACACCCCATCAGCAGGTGTCGACCTAAGGACGTTGGACTGACCTTCAAGGATGACGGGTTTGGCTTATACGCCTTCAGTACTGTAGTGTAGTGTCTAGTAGTGTCTAGCGACTCATTACCTTTTTCCGAATCTATGGTAAAACGATTGATTTATAAAACAAGCTTAACTGCTCTACCTACATCACTCTAACGAATATGTTAACGAATTAAATCTGTACCATCTTGGCTAAGATTTCATGATTACATATGAAACATCTAGGAAATAAGTGATCGTTAGTTCAGGTATGAGTATACAGATTACTAAGTTATTTTGAACTTATGAGATCGAAATATCAGGTAATCAGAGGTATATTCAAACACACATGTCATCGTAGAAAAAGTTGTAGAAATATGAATACGATCAGATAAATAAAGTTATCAAGTATTTCTTAAAGTTTAGCTATTTCTGAGTTCAATCCAACCTTTTTTTTATTGTTCCGAGGAAATTCAGTAATTCCTCAAAGGTACATTTAGCAGTTAAAAAATTAGTAACTACGACATGTTTGTTGGAAAAAGGCTACATCTTTTTATTTTTTATCTCTTTTTGTATATGATCAACCCTAAACTCTTGAACGGAGAATTCTCTCCCATCAGAAATACAACCAGTGTTTTGAAAATGCATGTTTTTTGATAGCACGCGATCGAATTCTTATCGATCTCGTTAAGCACAATGAAGCATGCCATCACGCTGGGGTCAATAAGATGATTCCCGACTGGTCTGGGAGGATAAAAGCATTGACTTGCACACCGCCTGGCCACCATATGTCAGGCATAACAGCAATACTGGTTACTATCACTCATGCATCTTCATTGTTACCCACTTGGGAAATATGCGATCTGATAGCAGCGGCGATCGCCGTCTTGGCCCGGCTGAGCATTAGACGCATTTCACAAGTAGCTCAAGTGAAAGTATCACAGCTGATGTAGAT